CCGTACCAAAAAACCGAAAAACCGATGTATTTTTTCGGTTAACCGTACCAGATATTTTAAAACTCGTGGTACGGTTAACAAACTGCAAAGGAAAAATGTTACATGGTACGGTTACGATGGTACGGCTACGGTTGAAATTATGTTAATGATGATGGTTAACCGGTAATAGGCCTGTCAATGGTTTCGGGTCCTGGTCGGAATGTAGTGTACTGGACCCGGACCCGCTAAGTGAATAAAAGACCCAGATCTAGACCTGTTTACCCGCTGGGTCTGAAATTTTGGACCCGGACCCAACGGTTCTCGGGTCCGAGTCGGGTAGACCCGCTAAATATCAAACAAAATCTGTATAAACAAATCTATGAAACGTAAAATAATTGCACAAACTAGCTACACTCAATCATCATTAACAATAAACAAAATTCAAAAGCAAAACATATCCTTAGCTTTTCAAAAAACAAAATTCAAAGTTCATATAGAAATCCAGTAACTTGCAAAACATATCCTTGTTTTTCAAAAAACAAAACTCAAAGTCATAGCAATCCAGTAACTTTATCCAAACATACTCAAAGTTTTTATAATAAAATAAACAATTTTATACTAAAATAAAATAGGAGCAGGGAGTATATTAGTATATACTAATAATTCTAAACGGGTACGGGTCCTTAACGGGTCGGAATTGTATGTTTCATACCCGACCCATTTATAAAAATACTAACGGGTCCGGGTAAGCGGAATAAAACATAGACTCATACCCGCTAAAAAAATCGGGTCCGGGATGGATCCGGGTCTAAACCCGGCCCATCGACAGGCCTAACCGGCAACTAGATTTGGGGTAAAATGACAAATTGATTTGTAAAATATACGATGTGCTACGCTCCATTGTATTAGCGGACCCGGACAGTATATATCTAGTTTTTGTATAATATTTTTGTTGTCCTTTAGTTTATAGAAACTAAGGATTTGTAATTATTTAAGAATACTCTAAATGATAAAAAAAGAATACTAAAGATTTGTAATAAGTTATCATACGTCACACCTTTTAAAACACTATCTTAGTTAGCAATGAAATTTCATATAGGTGTCGTTTGGATATTGGCATTTTGGCCAAATATTAGCGTGTTTGACCATTTCAGCGTGTTGAACCATAGGAACCGCTACTTTTTTTGTGTTTGGCAAATGGAGGTTGGCCTTAGCGGTTGGGACGAAACCTCCAAAAACCAAGACGCTGCTAATCATAGTGTTTTGACTTTGGCGGTTTGAAACACAGCCTGAATTCCATGGTTGCCCCCTCCTTGTTTCCGCTGCAGGCCTGCGACCGTTTGTCGTTTCGACTTTGCAAGACGGACTAAATAGACTCTTGGAAATTATTCTCAAATATACGTGGGTTGAATATGTGGCTAAATACATCATTGAATCTCTGTTTTGATGTATTGAAATATGTGAATACGTGGCTACTCTGTATGTAATGCTCTGCAGTTTTTCTCAAGTTTTTTTTTCTCAAGTTATGTATGCCTCTATTTTGAATTTTTATTAATGCTTATGAATTCATTAATTTTTGTTATTATATATTATTATTTAGTTAATTTTAAAGATAAACCGATAGATATAATGTACGTACAAATTAGTATAGTGCTTAATTTAAATTAAACAAAAAAACATGCTAAACTTTTATAATGTCCTTTTTAGTCTTTTTTCATACTAACCGCTAAAAACAAACCGCTAATTTGCCAAACATTTATGTGCAACCTGCTAAACAAATCCGCTGGTCAAGCCCGCTGATCGGATCCGCTATTTACTATCCGCCAATAAAATTTGCTAACCGCTGACCGCTAACCGTTGAGTGCCAAACAGGCCCATAAAGTACGGAGTATGTAACACAATAATAAAAATTTAAAAATACGGAGTTGAAGATTAAACACAAGCGACAATTACTTGGCACAATTCATTACTAACCATAATCGATAGGAAAGAATTAGGCTAACCGTAACTCTCTGTCAATAAATAAAATTCATCATCCATTTATACATATTCACTCAATCATTTCAGTTTTTTCTCGCAATTTAGCACATTAAATATATCCATTCAGTAAAGTATTTTAAATCAAAGTCTTACTTTCAATTATGATTTAAAAAGTCAAAGATTCCGACGCAAAAATAAATGAATTTAGAGTTTTGCTTTTGTATTTTAATTTCAGACCTATTTTAGATTTTTATTTCAGACCTATTTTGGAAAAATAGTAATTGAAAGATGATAAAACCATTTTTAATCAAGAGATCTTAATTTTAACATTTGAATCTAGTTAAGAAAAAGTTTGCATCTAAAAACATTTCCCGCCCCTTTTTTACTTTTTCATCACTTGGGTTGCAATTTTCTAGAAACGAATTTAAATCCCTTACTAGAATATTCACCTATGCGTTGCACGGGTTATCCAGTACTGTTTTGAGATATAAATATGGCTTTAAGCATTCATGTGATCATGTCCATCAAATATTTGTAATAGATGCATTTATAATATACTACAAATTATGGCAAACTACTTTTTTTTGTCAAGCGTAAACTACTCTTTGGATTATAAATAAAAGAGCAGCATTGATCTTTATAAGTTTTTTTTGGAGTAATCTATTTTTTAAGTAATGTTCTTTTTGAATTAATCTTGACTACCCCAAAAATTAAGCACATCGTTAGGCCAACAACGACAATAATAACAATAACATCCAAAGTGTAATCCCGAAAGATTTTGGAGTCGGCTAACATAACAGAGCCAACGTGTCAGGCCAATTCCCTAAAATTGTGTTTATCTTTACCTTTAGTAGAATAGCCTCGACTAAAAGTAGATTACTTTTAATCTCCCCCCAAAGATTAATTCACTAAATAAAATAGATGAGTTGCATTGTGATATAGGTATAATGAAGTTTTCCCCTTGTGAATGATTATTTCATAGATTTTCAATTGTTTATAAATCCTTATATATTCGGATCCATTTAGAAACATCATTGAATATTTGGATACCCATGAAACTGATGAAAGTGTAAAGAAATAAGCAAACACACAATTAGTAAACCTAATTCTAAAAACAAATAACTGAAGAATAAAGAAAATAAATGAGATCTTCATTATAAAAAGTGACTAAAATGAAAGTCACATGAATTAGACAACTTATCGGACTAATAAGTTTAGTATATGTAGTACGGAGTATAATTGAATGTACTTATGTACTGAGATTTGAAGAGCAAAATCTAGCAAGGATAACTAGAGTCAATAGTAAAAACACATAGATTCGATTTCTGTAAAAGGACAAAAACGGAGTATTATTACAATGAAGTAGACACAAACTGAATTTAGAATACGTAATCCCAACTTCCCAAGTTCTATTTGAAACTAAATGAATTAAAAACCTAATTTGAATTAATTATGATTGTAACAAAGAAATCTTATCTGATTGTATTTAATTACTAAATTGAATTTTAAACATGTACGTAGTATTTGCAAGTTCGATTGGATTTGGAATTTCGATTAAGAAAATCATGATAAAACAAAAAAGAATTAGAATATGCACGAAAAATAGTTTGATTATCAAACAAATTGCATAAACAACATATATTGTGTTTGAATAATCCTTTTGATACACTATGGATTACACCCAAGGTTACATCTTGGGTTACACTCAGAGTTATACCCTATATAAGTATATAACTCTTCTTCCATTTTAATTTCCTCTCTTCCCTCCCTCCCCACTCTCTTCTTTCCCCTCCCCTCTCTTCTTCATCATCATCTTGTTCTTGCTTCTTTGTTGCTTCCTTTCTCCTTCTTCATCTTCTTATTTTTCTTATTTTTCTTTCTTTTTACGTTTTATTAGCTAATTTTAGAATCAATTCCTTTGAATCATTGTTGTTCATCATCTTCTTCTTCTTTTTCTTTTTCCTTCTCTCTTTTTACGTTTTATGCACACCGATACTGGTTTGCTTTAAGTGTCTGTGTACACAGACGAAAATTATACATAGTACATGTACATACACTTTTTTTTCTACACAGACAACTAATGTCTGTGTACATCAACATTAGTTTCCGAACCCCTGAACTTGCAAACCAACTTTGTTCACATCACCATTTTTTTATCTACATAGACAACTAATGTCTGTGTACACCGACATCAATTTTCATGCAACCAATCTGGCAGATGCAAACTCACGTTGACAATTTTATTGAAAGTATCCGTACTGACAAAAAAGGTCAAATAAGGCCTTATTTATGAGGCTCTGTCCGGTCTTCGCCATTTGGGGTGGTTCTTGGTGGAATTTTTTGATGAAATTTTTTGACCATCTTATTCATTAAGTCTAGTTTACTCATACCAAATTTCAGCTAACAATTCAATCGAGAAGACATTCAAATGAATTCTTGAAGATAACTGCGCTTTTAATTTGTGCATGTATCTTCAAGAATTCATTTGAATGTCTTCCCGATTGAAGTTTTAGCTGAAATTTGGCATGAGTAAACTAGACTTACTGAATAAGATGCTCAAAAAATTTCATAAGAAAATTCCACCGGGAACCACTCCAAATGGCGAAGATCGGACAGAGCCTCATAAATAAGGCTTTATTTGACCTTTTTTGATTAGTATGTGGCCTTATTTGTCCCTTTTCTCTTTTTGTTTTGTGAATGACAAATAAACACTAAAGAGAGAATTCCCTAAATAGGAGTAAAAACGTTTTGAAATTCCAAAATAGAAGTATCATTTTTTTTATTCCCTAAATAGGAGTAAATTTCTGCCAAGTTTGGAATTATAAGGCTTTAAACATGACATTTTTTTCTAAACTTGGCAGATTACTCCTATTTAGGAAATAAAAATCATGATACTCTTATTTTGAAATTTCAAAACGTTTTTACTCCTATTTAGGGCAATTTTTGAATACTAAATAGCGATGGCTGTTGCTAACACATCCGGAAATGGCTAAAACACTTTGGATTAACTAAAAAAAAAACAGTAACTTCCGCACAGATGAGAAACGGTAATCCGTAAACGGGTAAACCTTCATGACTCCTACTCTCCTGGTAACTTTTGTCTCATGTGACTGCTCAAGAATCTCTGTCCGAGAATGGCGAAGTACAGCAGAATACCACTTGCTTAAAAAGAAGCACACTCCACTTTGGTTTGGATACCGTTTTGGTTCCCCAGATCTTCACTTGTGTTCTTCCTTGCTGAACATCTTTAGAGTGTGTTTGGGAGTGTAAGAAGATGGGGTCTGTATCTCTGAAAATTGGAGACGGAACAGCAAGATTTAAGAAGAGGACTTCCCTTTGCTCATCAGCTGTAAATCTTCTCATGATCTTCTCTGTACTCACTACAAATCTCTTCGCTCTATACGCTTTTACCCACCCACCTAGCAAGACCCACCATCTTCTCCTTCACGAGACCCACAAGAGCATCTCCGACCATGTCTCCCTTATCCTCAGTGAGATCAATTCGTCTCAGAAGAAGGTTGCCCATATCCAGAAAGAGCTCCTAGGCTACGAAAGCATTGATCTTTCCAAACCCAACATCGCCCCTGAGCTGAGAATGTTTCTTCTTCGTCACCAGCTTCCTCTGGGCAAAGATTCAAGAACTGGGATTACAACAATGGTGGCTTCCGTGGGTCATTCTTGCCAGAAATCCATCGATTTGCTGTCGCAGTTCATGAAATATAAGGTCAGCGGGCCTTGCCCAGACGATTGGGTTCTGGGTCAAAATCTGATCTTGAAGGGCTGTCAGCCTCTCCCAAGGAGGAGGTGCTTTTCCAAGATTACACCCAAATCCGATTTACAGCCTTTTCCCATTTCTCTTTGGAAGACTAGTAGCGAAAAGAGCTATAGTTGGAGTGGCCTTTCTTGCCAGAATTTCTCCTGTTTGAATGGTAAGAAATTGAGCATGGACTGTAAAGGTTGCTTTGATATAGTGTCTGGGTATGAGACTCAGAGATACGTTAAAGCTAGGGGTAAGAACGACTTTCTGCTGGATGATGTGCTTTCAATGGGTGGAAATGGTGGAAGAATCCGTGTCGGGTTTGATGTAGGTGGTGGCGGGTCTGGAACTTTTGCTGCTAGAATGGCTGAAAGGAACGTCACTGTGGTGACTTCCACATTAAACATTGGTGCACCTTTTAATGAGTTCATAGCTTCAAGAGGACTTTTCCCACTCTATTTGAGTTTGGATCACCGGTTCCCATTTTATGACAATGTGTTTGATTTGGTTCACGCCGGGAACGGGCTTGATATTGGGGTCCAACCCGCAGAGAAATTGGAGTTCTTGATGTTTGACATAGATCGCGTTCTACGGGCAGGTGGCTTGTTTTGGTTGGATAATCTGTATTGTTATGGTGATGAGAAGCGAAAGGCGTTGACCCATTTGATTGAGAGATTTGGATACAAGAAGTTGAAATGGGTTGTAGGAGACAAGAGCAACGGGTCAGAGAAGCCTAAGGTGTACTTATCTGCTGTCTTACAGAAACCAGCAAGGGTGTGATAATGATGATGAGGTAATTTGACTATTTGTGTAGTTCTTATATACAGCGTAGAATAAGTGAGGATATGCAAGGATTGTACTATGATAACTAACATTGTTTTTAGCTAGGATGATGTATGATTCTTGAATTCATTAGACGGCTTGGATTCTGTAATCCTGCAATGGTTAGTTATGACATGGAGAATCTAGAACTTCAAATCTAAGGACATGTTCTCTTAGACTTATGCTTAGTTCTTAATTCTTGCACTGATTAGACCAATCATAAACAGAGAACCATACTTGAGCAGATCACAACAATTTTCAGTCCATATGAACAGGTCTTAACATTTTATGGAACATACAAGCATGGATTTTTTAAGGATTGGTATGAACACCATGTTTTGTAATTTTGTTTATAACAACCCAAAATTTAATAGGCCATGTGTTCAGAAAAATAGGCCATCTGTTTCTTTTCTAACAAATTCAATTGTTAGAACATACAATCTCATCTGGTGTGGTAAAACCTTAATTTAAATTGTGCAGAATGGAGCTTACCACAATGTAATTGAACCAAAGAAATATGTTGTGCTAAAATGCCTGGAATTGATCGCTATATATTTCAGATGAACCAGTATCACCAACATTACATCAATTATAAATTTCTAAAATATTATTAATGTAGAATTGTTGAACAAACAAAACGGCTATAGTCTTGTTTTAGAAAGTCTTATCATGGCTACCATGTACTCCGTATTAAGTATTATCATGGCTACCATGTACTCCGTATTAAAACCCATGCATTAGAAAGTCTTGTTTTACGATACATTTACTTTAGTCATAAATTCATCATTATTATAGAAATATAATGTTTATTTTGTGAAAAAATTTGCTAACATTATAAAGCCATGCAAAAAAACATAGTTTTGGCCACCCAAAATCGTGAATCCCCTCCCCCACCATGACTATGATGTGATTATCTATCAAGTTTCCTAAAATGATGGCGTTAAAAAGGAAACTTTTTCAGCTCAATATGGTTGACAAGTACTTGCTGGGAAACTTCCATCACAATGTCAGCCACAGGTTTCTTTATGTAGAAGAGAGATTCATGCTTGGCCAACAGCCAATTCATGTCTCTCTCTTATACGAATGTTTAATTTTCTTTCTCAAAAACACAATACAAACCCCATCAAAACAAAACATTCATAGAGTAGTACCTGCCTCCTCCTCCTCCTCCCTCCCTTCCTTATCCATTCGGTGCTGGCAACATCGATGGAGTATATCCCCATGCGCTAAGAATACCCAACCAAACACTTTTCAATCTAGAAACCTTGAAAAGGGAGGCTGAGTACAGTCTTAGGGAATGGAGATGCAGAGATTAAGAGATCTGTTTTTGCTATGTTTGAGGTTGCAGAAAAACAATCCTGTTTCTCTAGTTGGTGGTAATCACACTGCTTCCCGCTTTTGCACCCGCTAATTTTATCTTCCCCATTTCCATCTCTTTCTCTTTCAATCTCATCTTCTTTAAATTTCAAAAAGTCTATGTAATATTTGTACAAGTAATAACCTTTGTAAGTCTTTGTCTAGTCTAGAGAATATAAATGGGGGGTTATCAAGAAACAGGTCTGCTCTTTGATCTTCAAACTAAACACCAAAACAAAACGAAGGGCCTCCTCCACATTGACCACGATGGCCTTTGCTTTGCTCAATTCTTGGTCCTACCTTTCCGGCACCCTTTTCTTGTGAAAGTACTGGCTCGCGCCATTGTTTTGACTCTTCTTATGGTTTCTTTCCCCTGGCTGAATGTGATAGGGAAATCATCATCATCCTTTAATATCAATAATACTTATCTGAGAAACATTTCTTCTAAAAATCTGATCTTTCGTGATCTGGCCAAAGAAGGCCTGCTCAAACAAGGCGACCGTGTTCTCTTCCTTGCTGGTAGAAATGGCGGCAATCAGGAAGGTATCTACAAGGAAATGGGCCTGGTCTCTGTTTCAGACCAAACCTTAAAAACCCCGGATAAGGAAACATATGATGTTGCATTTGCTAATCATGGCGGTTTAACCGGAGAAACCTCAGATTTAATGAAGAAGGCTGTTAAGGTAGGTGGGATTATCGTGCTCCAACTCACCGGCAATGACAACCCCGCTGTCTTTGGTTTGCCAAACACCAAATCTGTCTACCTCAGGAAATTCAAGTCTATGGTCTTTCTGGCGGTGAAGAAAACAGAAGACACCGCCAATGCCGTCAGCAGAAGCCACGGCAAGGGACGGCGACAGTTACTGGATACGGAATCAGAATCCAAATCGGGCGTTACTGAGGATGGGATGAGAAGCCAGATCAGCAGGGGTTTCTGGGAACAGAAAAAGAATCCAGATCAGCTGTTACCAGAGATGGAATCAAAGGCCAGATCGGCGGCCCTCAAGAACCTCGAAGACGTCCTGCTTGAACCGCCGAGGGCAGCATCGGGAAAGTCAAACGCCTACAGAAAGAGGACGAGGTACCTGCCAGACCTCATGGGGGTGTCATTGGAGAAGTACCCGAGAAGAGTGTTCATCGACGTGAGCTTGTCGGGAGGAGAGAAGAGCAATGCCGGAGCTGATTGGTTCGCGAAGAACTACCCCTCTGGGAACGCGAAGTTTGAGCTGTTCCAGATAGAGGCAGTGGCGGGGGCAGAGTCATCATCTGGGCGGGAAGCCACCGGAGGGATGTCGGATTGGCTGAGGAAGAACGTGGAGGAGAGGGATTACGTGGTGATGAAAACGGAGGTCGAGGTGGTGGAGGAGATGGTGAAGAGCAGAGCAATTAGGCTGGTAGATGAGCTTTTCTTGGAGTGTAAGCATCAAGGGATAAAGAAAGGCGGTGGTGGCGGCGGTGAGAAAAGCAGGAGGGCATATTGGGAATGTTTAGCTGTGTATGGTTTACTCAGGGATGAAGGTGTTGCCGTTCACCAATGGTGGGGATAAATATTTATTTCTTACTAATTCATGTATGTAAAATCAGAGGGATAGAGTTATCATAACACTTTTTAGGCCTAAAATGATTCTATACTGGATGTTTTTACAAATATTTTCCAATACATGTAGATCGTCTCAATCCCTCCTTTATGGAATGATGATGATATGAAGAGCGTATATATTACTAGCATATTATATAATTTATATTATATGAGATTTTAGCAATGACTGATAAGCCTTTGGCCTATTTGATTTGAATTAGTATATTTGGACTTGATCTTGTATGTGAAATTGGAGTAGAGCTTCTCACATATCGGGCCAATTAATAGCCTTTGAAATTCAATTAATTCCAAAACAAAGAATATATTCAAAGTAATACTACGTTTAAAGTAATCACTGATCTTCCCAAGCTATTTTCAACAATATCAAATTTCAAATATCACAAAGGCTATGTTCGGCAGACTACTTCAGCTAATAATTGGCTGAAATTTTCCAATTTCAGCTAATTATTACATCACTAAACTCGTTTGGTAGAAAGACTTTTATGAGCTTGAACTGGAATTATTCAACTGAAATCAAACGTTTTCATTCATGGTACGAAAAGCAGACTTTCAGGTTCCCTAAATACCCTTGATGACTGACTCAACCTGATTTGACGTCTGTTGCAACTCCAAAAATTAATCTTGTGGTTCTCTTCACCCACTGGAGCATAAAATACATAAAATGTGATTTAACCTTTTTCCCAAAGTGCGAACTATACTTTCCTTTGTTATGATTTATGGCTTTATGCCCCATGGGTGGATGCAATGAGTTTCCAATTTTCCAATACTCTGTAATTTCTTCTAATATATATACGTATATATTGCTTCTCGAAGGATGGAAGGAGGATAAATTATAAATGGATAATTCCTGAAGCAAGATCAAGGATGCATGCGGTGAAGATCTTCACAAAGAAATTTTACTGGGGGTGATGATTCTGTCTGCCTTATACGGAGCATGTACTACCTCAATGGTTGGTATTGTCTGAATCCCAATACGTTGAGAAAATAGAAGTGTAATATCAAACACATGAGAACATATCAAAAGTTCACCTAAGGAAAAAAAGAGGTAAAAAGTTTATCACTGTATAACTCTCTCAGGTCATAGGCAACTTGATGTATGTCATGAATGGCACGAGAATTGACATAGCTCAAGTTGTGAATAAGTTAAGTCGCTTTTCACAGATCGACTTGGACGAGTACTTGGATATTTGATGTACACCAAAGACTTTGGATTACATTCTAAAAAATGTTCAGCCGTACTAGAAGGGTACACATGTTCAAATTGAATATCCGATTCTAAGAACACTAAACCCACAAGTGGATATGTCATATGGGTTTACTCTTGAAAGTGGTGCTATTTCATGGAAATCTTCCAAATAAACTTGTATAGAAAGATCTATCATGGAAGATGGATTCGTTGCCTTAGATAATGCCGGAGAAGAAGCTAAATGGTTGAGAGAGTTTTTGCAAGATCTTCCTTAATTGTGTGAAATGAAAGGAAAATATTGCGGATCCGCTAACCAAGCCACTCCAGAGAGTAATGGTTGAGACATCAAGGAGTGCTATGGGCCTAAGGCCAATGATCCAATAAAGTCCATGGAGAAACCCTACTATATTAAGAGTGCCTCATAATTAGGTTCAAATGGAAAACTCAATGGTGGACGTCCCGACTTGGTATTACGTGGTGATGAAAGGTTAAGGTGGGGGAGATGGTAAAGAGCAGAGCAACTAGGCTGGTAGATGAGCTTTTCTTAGAGTGTAAGGGTCTATTTGCAACCCATTAAAAAAAGTGCTTTTAACTTTTTTTTAAGTAAAAAACACTTATTTTACCAAACACTACCAACTTTTACTTTCTCGGCTTCCGTGTAGAATCTACTTTTTACTTTTTCTATTACACAAAAGCACTTGTTTTACCAAACACTATCAACTTTTACTACTAATCACTTTTTCCCCAAAAGTGCTTTTATTTAAGCAGAAGTGGTTGCAAACAAAGCCTAAGCATCATGGAGTAAAGAAAGGCAGCATTGGCGAAAAAAGCAGGAGGGCATATTGGGAATGTTTAGAATCGTAGGTTTAGAAGCTGTTCTATTCGTTTTATTCTTATTACTTATTGCTTGTTCTTATTTTATTCAGATCAAATCAGAAAGATTCAGATTAGACCAGATCAGAAGCATTCAGATCAGAAAGATTTAGATAAGATCAGATCAGATCCGAAAAGTTCAAACA